CCGATCTATTCGAAAAAATCGTAGTTATGGTCCGATTTGCTTAAAATCTGGTACGTAGTTAGCTTTTTGCCTAGATTAGCATATAAGATTCTTTTTTTTCGGGTAGTTTCACAGCGAAAATCCCCAAGTTCTATATCATAGCACTGGCCACATTGCGTGTTTGTCACAGACACGGTTTATGTTAAAAATTTTGAATTGAAACTACCTTCTAAAATTATTGTATCATGGTTGGCGTTATACGTTGACGTAGGCTGTGCGCAATTTGACAGCTGCCCTTTTCCCATTGTCATTTTCTATGGAGTAAATGTGATATTTTTCTTGCTGTAATTGATTCGAGTTTTGCATATTATTATACTGATTCGGGATTTTCGTATATCGTGCGATATTTATCAATTCGATAATTTTTTCGGAAAATAAGTGTGTGTGTAAAAAGTGAAATTATCCAATTGGGCTGCGGGCATTCATTGCGAAACATTCATTCCGTAAGTTTTTTTTAATTTTCCTTTTAGTAGGATTAGTCAAAAACGACTTTGTGGTTTTTTAGGGAGAGTTATTTGCTTGACTAATGCCTCCTATTAGACGATCAAACCTTGGGCGACGTACACGTCGTGCAATAATTAGTCAGAATGTCCGTGATAATCAAACGCACGAGGAAAGTGTAGAAGTAAATGAATGGAGACGTGCCCATATTGCACAGGTTCGCTCTGCACAATCACCACCTCAAATTCGACAGAATATTACTAGAAGAAGACCAGTCGTAAATGTACACTTGAATCGCGCTGCTTTCGAATACGATTCCGCAATCGCCTACAAAGATCTTCGCTGCGTTGATATCGGTTCATTGTCTGTCGTATGCCAGCATTGTAATGCATTGAAGTTTCAATCGGAAACCCCCGGCTTATGCTGCGCTGGTGGCAAGGTGAAATTGCCCGTTCTGACTCATCCGCCAGAGCCATTGTATTCGTTTCTCTATGGAAATACAATCCAATCAAAACATTTCCTGGCGAATACACAAAAATATAACGGATGCTTTCAAATGACGTCATTTGGAGCCGAAGTTGTTGATCAACCCGGCTACAATCCGAGTTATAAGGTAATGGCGTATTATTATTATCAAAATGAGCAATTCTTCCAATTTTTTTTCGAAATTGCTTCCAAACATACAGATTCAAGGGCAAATTCACCATCGAGCGGGTGCTTTGTTACCACCACCAAACGAAGATCATAAATTCCTTCAGATCTATTTCGTTGGTGATTCGGCAATTGAACTAAATCAGCGTTGTGTAATTTTTACTGCGACTAAACGTGAAATGATCGAACAATTGCAAAATCTTCTGCACGAGCATAATGAACTGGTCAGACTGTTCAAAACCGCATTGGATACAATGCATTCTGACGACCACAAAATCATTATCAGAGCAGACAAAAGACCTGCTGGAGGCCATGCAAGACAATTCAATGCTCCCACTATCAATGAAGTCGCAGTGGTGATTGTTGGCGAGAATGTGGAATCACGCGATATTGTTCTCAAGCGTCGGAATGGTGGACAATTGCAGCGCGTGTACGAGACTCATCGGTCATATGATGCACTTCAATACCCGTTGATGTTCTGTCGTGGAGAGGATGGCTATCACTTCAATATAAAGATGGTCAATCCAACGACAGGTTTGTTTACAAGTTATCACTACTTTTTCATTCTACGACTAAGTCAAAGTTCATATTTTAGGAGAAGAAACGAATAAGAAGGTCAGCTCAATGAATTTTTATGCATATCGATTGATGATTCGGCAAGATGTTGACAATCATTTGTTGAGATATCGCCGGTTGTTTCAACAGTACTGCGTCGACATGTACGTCAAGGTCGAAACGGAGCGTCTTAATTTCATTCGTTTCAATCAGTTGAAGTTACGATCAGACGAGTACATCCACTTGCGGGACGCCATCGCTACTGAAGGAGATGCGACCAACATCGGTTGTTTGACCATTCTCCCAGCTACTTACGTTGGAAGCCCGCGCCACATGCATGAGTACGCTCAAGATGCAATGACGTACGTACGGAATTACGGACGCCCCGATTTATTCATCACGTTCACTTCCAATCCGAAATGGCCCGAAATTACGAATCTGTTGCTGACAGGACAAACATCCAGCGATCGACATGATATCATTGCACGAGTATTCAAACAAAAGATCAGAGTACTCATGGATTACATCGTTAAGCAGAAGGTTTTTGGCGTACTCCGTTGTTGGATGTACTCGGTTGAATGGCAGAAGCGTGGTTTACCACATGCACATATTCCGCTTTGGATTTTCGACAAGATCCGACCAGATCACATTGATTCGATCATTTCTGCCGAAATACCAGATCCAGAAACTGATCCGGAGCTGCATTCCATTGTGACAACGAACATGATACATGGCCCTTGCGGAGTCCACAACCCAGACTCACCGTGCATGGAAAACGGAAATTGCACAAAGCGTTTTCCCCGTCCGTTGGTGGCTGACACAATCAGTGGAATCGACGGATATCCATTGTATCGGCGTCGTTCTCCAGATGACAACGGCAGATCAATCGTGATGAAAGTGAAAGGAAACGATGTCGTCGTCGATAACCGCTGGATCGTTCCATATTGTCCGCTTTTGTCAAAAACGTTCTCAACCCACTGCAATGTTGAGTACTGCAACTCCATCAAATCTATCAAATACGTTTGCAAATATGTGAACAAAGGGAGCGACATGGCGATGTTTGGCATTGCCGATCCGAATGCAAACGACGAGGTGACGAAATTTCAACTTGGACGTTACGTGAGTTGTAACGAGGCAATTTGGCGGCTGTTTTCATTTCCGATTCATGAACGTCACCCGACTGTTGTACATTTGGCAGTTCATTTGGAGAACGGCCAGCGTGTATACTTTACGGACGCAAATGCAGCGCAAAGAGCAGAACGACCACCAGCGACAACATTGACAAATTTCTTTTCGACATGCGAAAGCGATCCGTTCGCAAGGACTTTACTCTATTCGGAACTGCCATGCTATTATACATGGAACGCAGCATCGAAGAAGTTTCAACGCCGGAAGAAAGGTGATTCTGTTGCTGGCTTCGCTGATGTATATTCTACTGATGCCCTCGGACGAATATACACAGTTCATCCACGCCAAGACGAATGCTTCTATCTTCGCTTGCTTTTGGTAAACATTAGAGGCCCTACATCGTTCGATTCCCTGCATACTGTGGATGGTGTGCTGTGTGCCACTTTTCGGGAGGCTTGCCAACGTTTGAATTTGCTCGAAAACGATACACATTGGGACTCAACACTCGCCGATGCAACTGTTTCTGCGCCAGCGAATCAAATTCGTACATTGTTTGCGATCATCATAGCTACATGTCATCCGTCGAACCCGACTGCATTGTGGGACAAATACAAGGACGAGATGGCTGACGACATTTTGCACAGAGTTCGCACGACAACTTCGAATTTCGATCTCGAAATTAACGACGAGATGCGCAACGAAGCATTAGTTCTGATCGAAGACATCTGCGTGCTCATGTGCGGCAGTCTGCT